TTTTAAGCACTACAGAGAGGGTGAGATGTTCATGTAAACATTGTGCACACATAACATGGGAAAATAAAGTTGTGTGGCTTCTCTTTCTCCAGTTTAAATGCCCTTCAGAAGACCTGCAACAGCAACAGAGCTGAGTATTATTATAGATCTCAACGATTGGTTGTACTGTTTTATCTAACCCAAAGACAGCAAGGCACATTGACCTCTTAGTCATTGCTCCATTTCCTTTCACTAGTCATGCGGCATATTTTACAAGAGCAACTTTGTGCTGATCGCTCATTCTAAGATGGCATTTGTAATTCTCTGTGATACCTGCTGTGATGCTAGACTCTAATTGTTCTAATCTTGACATTTTCTTCAGAGACACAGGCTATGATTTGTTTGCTCTGTTTTGTGGATTCATAATTCAGAGCGCAAAGAAATGAAATTGTTTTCCCCTCCCTCCCTCCCTCCCTCGAATGAAATGGGTTTTTTTCCTTCTTTTCTCTTTCCTTTTCCTTTCCTTTTCTTCCCTCCCTTCGTCTCCCTCCCCCTCCTTGTTTTGAAACAGGGTCTCACTATGTAGCCATGGCTGATGTGGAACTTACTGTGTAGACTCACAGAGCTCTACCTGGCTCTGCCTCCTGAGTATGAGATGTCTTTCAAAATTTAAGTTCCATTTATGAGTCTGTATAACCATTTTAGAGTTCTGTGTAGCAGCATTGTAGGTTTGAAATGGATGCATATATCTGGTCTTCATCTTGCTGGTGAGAAAACTGAGGCAGAATGGTAAATCCTAGGTGATGTGGTTCTTGTGGGAACTAGGTCAGGAATGCAGCCCCCTGGTGGGCAGCCATCCCTCAGTCCACTGCCCAGCATACCCTTTAAATGTGTAAGTGGGAACTACAGGGCTTTCATTCCGGCAACATAAAAAGCTATAAGGGAACCTGAAGAGAAAGTCGTGGCCTGACTGTTATACTTCTATCTGCAAAACTTCTCTCAGGTTCTTCAGAGCTTAAGATTTCTCTTGTCCTGACAGTGCTGAATGAAGTAGATTCAGTGTTGTAGTATAGTTGTACATTTTTTTCCTTTGAAAATCTTATTCAGTAACTACTACCACAGATAGAAGGTAGATGTTTAGCTAATGAACTTTATCACTTAGCCTTTTGGCTAAGATCAAGTATAGATACGGAGTTTATTTCTTGTTTCCTGTCACCTACTGCTATGTTGCTATTTTTATGCTACTTCAGAATTTAATAGTATAAATATAATTTGTCATAAATTTTTGTTGACCTTGATATGTTTTTGGATACACTGCGTTTTCTAGAATAGTTATGAGGATTCTTTACTGTTGCCTTCTTTACAAGATGCAAAGTTGTTTCTCGCATCATTATTTATACTTGGGAATTATTCTGTGTCTGGTTCACTTGTGGTGTACACACCCTCAGGTCTCACAGGGCTGCTGCCTTTGCCTCCAGAAGGTTTCTAGTTTACCAAGGTCACTGGCTTTTCTCACCCCTAGCTGTTTTTCCTGCCTGGTTTGGCGGTTCTTTTCTGCACGGACCCGAGCTGACCCTTTCCAGTATTCAACATGGAATGAGAGATGCCGGACTCTAAAATAAGACTGAAATATGAAATTCAGAAAAAATTTTTTGAATTTTCTCATTTATTTAAACAATAATAACAAGGATGTGAGAATTAATAGTTCATCATAATTATGTGATAGAAAAGGTAGTATTATGTGAGTATAGTCTTTTAAGGGGTGTCTCTGTATTGCCTATATGATTAGGACACTATGGAAATATTGTAAATGCTAAGATCTGTGGCTTTCATTTTACAGGGCGCCAATGCCTCGGCATTAGAGAAAGAGATTGGTCCAGAACAGTTTCCAGTCAACGAGCACTACTTTGGATTAGTCAATGTAAGTATGGAAGATCCTCAGCTTTCAGAGTAGTGCTTGCAAGCTTTGGACATCATGAGTTCTAGAACATTTGTGGCACTATTCTTCTGTTAGATAACTTCCTCCCAGCGTGATTCCCCTCTCTGTCCTTTCTGATAGCTTATTAGTCACAGACTGAAACATTTAGACTGGATCCTCTAATATTCTTATTTTCTGTTTTTGAGTTTCTGTCATTTTTATTCTGTATTTTAGACTGTTTTTGTCCAGTTTTCTACTTTTGATATCTTAACTTTTACCTCTTATTTTTTGACATTTCATAGAAACATTATCTTCTCCTATTTTCCTCAGGATTTCAGTAATGAGGGTTTGTTATGGCTGTTGGATTATTTTTGGGAGTCATGATGTATCCTTCCTCCCCTTCTCAGTGGCATCTTTCGTGTTAGAAGTTGCTCCCATACTTCATATGTATAAAAGTGACATTCTGAGAAGCTGGTTGGAGGCCTGTGTATTACTGGTAGAGCTGGGCCCTGGGTGGGTTTCACTCAAGTCTGGCTCCCAGGTAAATAAAAAGTAGTTCCTGAGCTCCCTACCTACTTTTCCATTTGGTAGTTGTTTTTCTTTCCCTGACTGTCCTCCACACCACTGAGGGGATTTCTTCCAGTGCCTGCTAGGGATGACTTAATTCAGGGTTTTATTTGGTTCTACTTTTCAAATATTTTAACATTTTTGTTCTATGTGTATGAGTGTATTGCCTGCATGCATATAAGTGCACCTGTGTTGTGCAGTGTCCCTGGATGTCAGAAAAGGATGTTGGATCCCCTGGAACTGGAGTTACAGCTTCCATGTGGGTGCTGGGAATTGAACCTCTGTCCTCCACAAGAGCAGCCAGTGCTCTTAACCACTGAGCCATTGCTCCAGCCCCTAGTTCTGTTTTTTATTCAGTATCTGCTGTCTTCTTCCTAGCTCTGTGGGTCCTTGGAACCCAGAAGCCTTTGCTTGGCTTTTAGAGACTGAGCCTGCAGCTGTCTTCTGTGAATTGAGATTAGGCTTATGTGCTGGCATATAAAAACAGTTGGCTTTCTCCCTTTGCCATGTGGGTTCCAGGGATGGAATTCTGGTTATCAGGCTTGTTGAGCCGTCTCACTGACTCCTGATCTTGTTATTTTTCCCCTACCACCTTTATTTATTAGGTTTTATTAGGTTTAGACTTCAAAGTTTCTTGGCTTGCAGTAAACTCTCTAAATCTCTTGATGAAATTTATCACTCTTAACATTGTTGAGAAATGGCACCTCAAAGAGGTCATTAAGAATCCTAATGAATATAGATGAATACCTTTATTGTTTGAGTCATTAGTTATTGTTGGGGAGGGTTAGTTAGATCCTGAGGAAAGGATGACTTTGATTTAGATCCTCCCTTTTCCTCTGTCTTATGCACTTGTTTGTCCTTCTGCCTTCTGTGCTGTTGTAACCTGCAGATGCAACAAGAAGAGATAATGTCCCAAAAGAACCCATTTTCTTTAAAATATTCTATAATTTTTTTTTTTTTTTTACTTGTATGAGTGTATTGCCTGCATGTATGTAAGTGCACCCATGTCGTGCAGTGCCCACAGATGTCAGAAGAGGGCATCAGATCCCCTGGAACTGGAGTTACAGGGACAGTTGTTAGCTGCCATGTGGGTGCTGGGAATCTAACCCACATGGGTCCTCTGCAAGAGCAGTCAATGCTCTTAACCACCAAGCCATCTCTCCAGCCCCTGAACCCATTTTCTTTAGAATCAGGAATATTTTATATGTTGAAGATTATCTACTTTTTTCTCTTGTGTTATATTTCAGCTTATCTATTTAATGTACAACCTTATTTTTGGACAGAGAGCCTCAGAACAAGCCAAATAATGTCTTAGATAAAAATCATATGCAGTGAGCTTGAAGACTATAATTTTTCTTGGTTGTAAGTTTCACTTGTGTGAAAAAAAGGATATCTAAAAACCATCATTTCTATTCCTAGTGGGTCAGTCTAAATCAGGAGAACAGTATTTGTGCTTCTCTTGCAGTTATGTAGCTACCAATTTTGTGTGTATCAGAAACAGGAGGTAATAACATTAAGAGACCATTTCATTCACTTGATGAAGTTTCTGATCTTTATGTCTAATTATTATACAAAACCCATATATACAAAAGTATAAGGATACGAGAGTTAAAGATGGATGAGAGCCCTGAATTGTACTCTAAATAAGCCAGTGGGCATAGGAGAGGAGGCTTTTTCCTGGGATTTATACTTTGAGACCTCTGTTTCTTTGACCTTCTCTGCCTGTCTTATTCTCGGCTCTGTTTCTCTCTTGTTAACTTGCTACCTTTTTATTTTTAGAGTTATCATACTGCCTACTCATAGGTGCTCCTTAAATATCAAAATGGGCTCGGTTCTCCTGAGAAGCCCATACCCACACCTTGGATGTACAACTCTCAGTTTCTAAAGCATGCATTTCTGTCTCATAATATGTCTTCTTTGATTAAGTCTATATTAGAAAAATCATGTTGGACTCTTTTTGTGGGAGGAAAATGGCTTGGTTAATTCAGAGGTCAATATTGTAAGCCATTTTTCTTGGGCCTATACTTAATCTGCCAAATAGGCAGTATTGTAAACAACTGACCTTGTGGGAGTTTTTTATAGAAACTTTGGGATAGAAATAGGAATGTAGCCCAGTTTTGAAACACTTGTCTAGCATGCTCAAAGCCCTGGGTTCTATACCCACTCAGCACTACCACACTGCAAGAAGAGGGGATAAGAAACTTTGTGGTTACTTTTTGGGGGGAGGTTTCCTCTCTAACAGTTGAGTTTTGCTTATAGGATGAACATAGGAACATTTTCCTTTCCATCAATCTATTAGTAGCTAAGTGCATTTCCAGGCTTAATTGCTTTAACAAAAAAAGTATGTATGGGAAGAATTGCTGTCAGATTTACCTGATTTGATCTCTTTTGGGGCAATGAATGGTAGGTTCACATACAAGCTCTTCCTTTTGTGAGTCGGGCACTTTGTTTTTGTACAGTAATAAAATAGCCACAGTTTAATTTGCCAGCTGGTAATCAGAGGGATGACTCAACATGTTAATGGTTACCTGTTTTCCATTATTTTTAGTTACATACTTTTTTATGTTTTTAAATTTTTATTAATCAGCTAAATTCTTTACTATTTTTATTTTATTTTATATGTATGAGTGTATTGCCTACATTTATGTAAGAGCACCCATGTTATGCAGTGCCCATGTTGATCAGAAGAAGGCATTGAATCCCCTGGAATTGGAGCTAAATAGCTGGTTGTTATCCACCATGTGGATGCTGGGAACTGAACCCAGGTCCTCTACAAGAGTAACCAGCATTCTTACCCACTGAGCCATCTCACTAGCACCTCAGCTAAATTCTTTGAAAACATTGTTTTAATCTGATAAATCAGGTTGCCTTTTCCTTCCTTTTTTTTTTGTATTAATGCAAATACATCTGTGATGTTTGTATGATGATGAACTTGCCAAACCAATACACGTTTTAGAAGATGTCTTCATTGTTAAAGAAGCATGACTGTGTTTTAGTAGAGCTGTAAAAGGGTAATATCTCTTCACTACTTTGTACACAATCTACACATTTAAAAAAAAAATCCTTCTTTGTTTAGTTGTGTAGTTCTTTTATCAGTTTTCTAATACAGGAAGGTCCCAGCATGCAAGTAGGTTGGGCTCAATCAGTCTGTTTGAAGCTACTGTGAAATGTATTTACTCTCCAGGATCTTTATTATAAAATTATGATTGCCTTTCTAGACTGTCTTAGGACAGGCTAGTTAAGCAGAATTGTTTGTAGTCATTGGAGCATGATCCATCATGGACAAGAAAGATGAATAAAATGAAGCTTTCTATTTGTAGGCTAAGGAGCTGAAGGCAAAGGTCTCTTGGTTCTGTTTTCTTTTGCATTGATTTCATTCTCATTCTGTTTCTACCTGATAGCTATAGCCTGCTTGAGTTTTGTGTTATCAGAGGTCCCAAAGATTGTCCTCATCAACCCTTGTCAAAGAATTCTGGCCTAGGAATCCTAACTAGATTGGGTGAGGTGTCCAGTCCACCTGTAAATTTTATGATAGGGATGTGATCAACCACTGAACAGAATGTGCATGGAGAAGAGAAGTCAGTTCCCATAAGGAAGTGTGGGGCAGTAGAGTAAAAGTGTGGTGTCAGCAACCAGTGCCCACAGGGTATGGAAAGATAACTTCTAGATTCGTAGCCACCTTTGGACCACTTGGGTGAATTGAGAGTAGTAGGTTTAAAACAGGGCCACCTAAGCCAGAGCTGGTTGGTAGAGGGGGGTATTTACTTAAAAGTCAGGGAGATGGCTGAGTGGGTAAAGGTGCTATCCCTGCAAGCTGACAAACCTGAGTTCAATCCCCAGATCCCACGTAAAAAGCTGCGCATGATGGTACACATCTGTAATCCTAGCACTCCTAAGATGAGATGGGAGACAGACACAGAATTGCCCAGAAGCTCTGGAGCTCATGGGCCAGTTTGCCTGGAGTGAGCAGCATGGCAATAACAAGAATGACCCCGCCTCAACAAGGAGGAAGAGAACCAGTCTCAGAGTTGTCCTTTGACCTGTGTTGTATGCACATGCACACATACATGTGCACGTTTGTATGCGCACATACAAATAATAATAGTAATAATAATAAACATTCTAAAAGTTCTTGTGCTGACAAACTATTTTACCTGTTTTTATTTTAAATGTATATATAATAATATAATTTATAAGCAAGTATATATGAATATGTCTTAGGAATTTGAGCTCAGAAATAATCTGATGGGGAATGTATTAAAAATAATTGTGTTGACATATTTTTGAAGACCTGGAGAAGAAAGCATTAGAGAAGACAGTTTGAAAGTAAGGATGGGTCATTGGGTTCACTAAGCAATTTTTAAAAAATCAATGTATAGGAAGCAAGCTGGTGCTAAGTATTTTTTAAATGGTTATGTAAGCAAAGCTGAACTGTA